CTGCTATAACAGAAATACCACAAGTGGATGGCTTTAACAAAGAGAAGTTTATTCTCTCACAGTCCAGTAGGCTATAAGTCCAAATTCAGGGCATCAGCTCCAGGGGAAGGCTTTCTTTCTCTGTCGGCTCTGGAGGAAGGTCCTTGTGATGCATCAGTCTTCCCTTGGTCTGGGAGCATCTTAGCACAGGAACCTCAGGTCCAAAGGATGTGCTCTGCTCCTGGCACTGCCCTCTTGGTGGTGTGAGGTTCCAGTGTGTCTCTGCTCACTTCTCTCTTTTGTATCTCAAAAGAGATTGGTTTAAGACACTGCCTAATCTTGTAGATCGCGTCAGTATAACTGCCACTAATCCATCTTATTACATCATAGTGATAAAGTTTACAGCACATAAGGAAATCACATCAGATTACAGAATGGTACAGAATCATATAATACTGGCAATCATGACCTAGCCAGGTTGACAGATATTTTTGGGGGACACAAGTCAATCCATGACAGATGGTGTGCTATATAGGCAAAGTGTTTCTCTTTCTGTTAGAAGGAGACAAACAAGAGATGCTTCAAAATGCATTACCTATCCTTTCCACTGAACACTCTAGGGTGAGCTCATTTTAGACATCACATAGATAAATCATTACGTAAGAAATATAACTGAGACTTCCGAGCCAGTAGGCATTACATTGCTAATAGCTTAGTTCAGCCTTGCTTTGTCCAGCTCTTCTTTCCTCAGCTAGGTGGCTGTTGCAAATTTGGTTCCTTCCTGTAAACCCATAGAAGGTGAACATTAGGGGCAGAATGGTCAAAACCTTTTTCCTTCAAAATAATTCAAAGTGAATTCTAAACTCTATGAGAATGGTAACCATGTCTATTTCAGCTCAACATTTTATCTGTAATACTTAACACAATTCCTAATACACAGAACCCAAACCCAACCCGTTGCTGTCAAGTCAATTCAATACACAGAAGGTACTCAAGAAAAAATTACTGATGAATGGAAGGAAAGATAGTAGAAAGTTTGTTGTTGTTGTTTTGTTTTGTTTTTGTGTACTGATAATTACTAAGAAAACCCCTTTATGCAATCCCCTCATCTCTTTGGCACTTTTTATGTGGCAGAAATAGTGGAAACAGAGCTAAAAACATATTTTAAGACATATTTAACCATAATGTTCTGTAAAACTGTACTTCCCCGTTGTCTGCAAGAATCAAACTAATGTCACAGGCATGAAAGCGTGGTAAATGCATTAATTCAGAAATAGATTTTAGTCAGATATTGTGACTTAATTGCAACACCTCAGTGAAAACAATGTTAGCATATTGCATAGCTTTGAAGGACAAAGCTGAGCCAAGTGCCTGGGCGGATTCCAAAAGGGTCAAAGCTCTACAGAGACAGTCAAATGAAGGGCAGGGCATGTGGGCAACCATTTATGGGCACACGTTCAATTCAAGATACCAAGACATTTGTGGTAATAAAACTCTGAAATATGAGGTGCAAGTGATTACCTGTTCTGGGGTTCCATGAAGCAAAATGGCTGAATGGAGAATAAGACAGAGTTAAATGCCAGAAGAGAAGCAGTTGCTTGCAGATTTCCTGTTATAGTAGTAATGGTATTTCTGCTTAAACATGGTTGAAAAATGGAAACTACCAAAAAAAAAAATCTCATAACAGCAAGTAGACTGTTAAGTTATTTAAACATTTTTGTGTGTGTATTTGTGAGTACTACGTCACCTGTTAGCAAATAGGTGGCCATTGCCATGATACTTTGTCAAGAGCCATCAAAAACAGTATCTGGGAGCAGGTTGAGGGGTAAATTGAAACTTCAAAAATAAGAAGTTAAACATATATCATCCAATAGGAGAGAAATATTGAGAAAATTAAGGAAGTCTGATGTTAGATTATTTTTTTTCCCCAGCTATAGATAGTACTCTGGCCACAAATAAAGCTAAATATTTTATTCACCACAAACACAATCAAAGAAGTCATAGATTAAATGGTGGATCATCTTCTGCTTCAGATATCTTCAATTAACAGACCATTTAATGCGTTGATTTAAAGGATTTTAACACATCTAAAGAAATACATTAACATTAGCTACTATCTCATAAGTTTGTACTCAAAAGTTTTTATTGCTTCCCATTTTGTCTCACAGTCCTTTCTAATTTCCGCTGGTATAAATCAATTTAGATTTATTAGCTTTGTACAAAAGAACTCCAGTAGGTTTTTAATAATAATTATCATTATCATTGATTAAAGTTATATTGTTCAGGCCAGATGGAGTCCTTTTCCTGTCAGTTAGAATGAGCTTGCATTATGTAGTTATAATGTGTTTGGATCTAAATAAACAGATGGCAGAGTGACAGGATATTATACGCTGGAGATGTCAGCAGCAGTGCTTCACAGACAGATTGCTTTAAATAAACTCTGTCAGAGCAAGAATCCTAATACTTTGAAGAAGGTGACTGGGATATAGCCTAAATATTATATTAACTTGGAAATAGTACAGTGCCTGAGTGGTGCAAATGGTTAATGCACTCGGCTGCTAACCAAAAGGTTGAAGGTTGGAATCCACCCAGAGGCACCTCAGAAGAATAGCTGCTGATCTACTTCTGAAGAATCAGCCACTGAAGTCCCTATTGAGCAAAGTTCTACTGTGACACACATAGGGACGCCATGAGTCAGAATCGACTCAATGACAAGTGGTTGGTTAACTGGTTACTTCCAGAAAGGTAGAATGATAAGGAAAGTTTCAGCTTAAGAAAGTGTGTCTGCTAAATCTATACCTTAACTCCTTGGAAACTCTAGCAGTTCTACTCTGTCTTATAGGGTTGCTATGAGTCGGAATGGACTTGATGGCAATGGGTTTTTATAAACACTTAGCAGTATGGATTGAAGCAGGCGGTCTTGTAAGGGAATTAAAAAAAGACCATCCAAGTTGTTACAACTTTCAAATTCAGGATTTAAAGCTGTAGGTCAAGGAAAGTTGGGAATATTTGATATAACCCTATTCCATAATTTATACAATATAGTGAACTTTATTAAATAAACACTTTAAATAGGACTATACCTATTCAAAAGGAGCCCTGGTGGTACAGTGATTAAAGCGCTCAGCTGCTAACTGAATAGGAATAGTTGGCAGTTCCAACCTACCAGCCGCTCAGTGGGAGAAAAATGTGGCAATCTGCTTCCTTAATGATTTCAGCCTTGGAAACCCTATGAGGCAGTTCCACTCTGTCCTGTAGGGTTGCTATGAGTCGGAATAGACTCGATGACAATAGGGTAACCTATTCACAATCAATATTAGAAAAGTAACAGAGAAGGTTTATTAAAACAGATTTTATAGAAAAGCTTTAGTGTTTAATATATTTTCTTCTCTATTTTTCATTCTAAAAATAAGCCCATTCCATATCCTTGTGCCCATAAAAATTTAAGATGAACCTATGAAATTCAGAAGCAAGCTTCAAAAATAGTCATTATACACATTTTCTTCTAATAACCCATGGCCATCCAGTCAGTTCTGACTCATGACAACCCTGTGTGTTACAGAGTAGAACTGCTGCATAGGGTTTTCTTGGCGGTACTCTTTATGGAAGCAAATCACCAGACCTTTCTTCAGCTGTGTCACTGGGTGGGTTCCAACCACCAACCTTTAGGTTAGTAGTTGAGCACAAACCATTTGCAACACCCAGGGCTTCTTTCTCATGAATTGTCCCTGGGGATTTCTCTGTGATGTAACTGTTGGTTGAGACAAATGAACACAGTAGTGCAGTCTTTAAGAGGAAGATGGAAATATAGAAGATAAAGGCTGATATTTGGTGAAAATACAGATAACTATCAATGTACATTTTAGAAGTGGCAATCAAATGACTGAAATTGAGCTTTCTAAAAAAGTGAGCTTTTTAAAATGCTTGTTTTTTTATATGAAAATAATCTAAATTATGTATGGTACCTTTTATTCCAATGGTTCTTCGTGTGTTTGTAAGAATATATACTTATTTTCTATAGACATCAACTTTTTAATCTATTGATTTAACCTTAAATATCTGTTGGTATCAGTAAACCATGAGCTCTTGAAATTATATAAATAAAATATTATGTTCAGTAGTCAAAATGAAAACTCAGTGTAAACATTTACTTCTGACATTCTGTGAAAATTTAAAAATTCATTTATTTCCTTTTCTTATAAAATGATGAGAGGATTTTGAATATTAGGGTTTGTATTTCTGCTTCGCTTATATTTGACTTATATTCAGGTTTTGCTACTTAAGTGGGCATTTTATAGATTATGTTTCAACTCTAGTATGGCATAAAAATCCTCATAAAGGAGCAAGAGTATTTCCTTTGAGGAGTTACTTCTAGCCAGGAATGAAAAATTATAACGTGCATGTTCTTTTTCTCCTGTTCTACAGGTGGGCGTTGCCATAAGTCCTGTACTGGCCGATGCTGGGGACCCACAGAAAATCATTGCCAGACTTGTAAGTATTCAACAGTGAGAAAACATAAGATTGAAATCATGAAATCATTTTAATTACTGATGCTTTTCACACCTCTGGTCGTCAGAAACGTGAAAGTGAGCCTTTGCCTTCTTGTGGTAGATTTGCTTCTAGCCAAATATACTGCCTAATTTTGTTGCTTTTAAATGAAATGTAATATATAATTGCTTCTTACAGCTTTCTGTGCTTTCTAGGTTAATGGTCTCAGCAGCACAGCTGTAGTGATATTAGCTATGACTTCAGAGTCTGTCCATCAGAAGTAGTAAATCTAAAAGTACGCAAAATGATAATAACTCCATTTCAGGTTAACCAGATATCGCAGTATTTTCTCCAAATAGTTATACCACCATTTATTCATTAAAAAAGAAAAAGAAGGAGGAGAAGGAAGGGAAGGAGGAAGAAAGGGAGAAGGAGGAGGGAGAGGACCTATGAGAATGGTAAATATTTGTTTTTCCTGATGCAATAAAAATAGCTGAAATAATATATGGAAAACAGTGTGGTGGCAATTTGAAATGTATTCCCTTACTAGCATAGGAGACACAGAAAATATTGTTGAAAATTTGAACATACAGATATTAGACATTGTGGAGTTTTATTATACCATTGGGTGAAAGCTCAGCTCTTTCCATTTTGTCTCAGCTCATGATATTTGCTAGATCCTGTTTAATAAAGAAATACAGGAAGAACTACTTATTGAGAGCAACCAAAGAAAAAGATGTAGGAAAATATATATTCTCAACACTAAATGATTTCTTGTATATATATTTTTTAAATCATGGACATTCTCATGTTCAAAATTCATAAAATACAAGAGTGTAGCATAAGATGTGTCATCCTACCTGTGTTCAACCTTTGTCCTTCAGCAACCCATAGGCAATAAACGTTTTTGGCTATGTTTGTGTTTTCTTCCAGGGATAATTTATGCATAAACAAGGAAGTATGCATATATGCGCCACTCGTTTTCACTCAAATATAAGCATGCTGTGTATGTTATAAGGAGCTCTAGTGGTACAGTGGTTAAGCACTCGGTGTCTGCTAACTGCAAGGTCACCTACCAGCTACTTTGCGGGAGAAAAGACCTGATGATCTGCTCCCATAAATATTATGGTCAAGGAAACCCTATATGGCAGTTCTACTCTGTCATATAAGGTAGCTATGAGTTGAAATTGACTCGATGACACACAACATATATGCTATTATTGCACCTTGATTTCTTTAACTTGTTGTATATGTGTATTAATTTATTTGTAGTATTAATTCCTCAAAATGGAATTTGCAGAGTCAAAGACATGTATTTTAATTTAACGGAGATCACCAGCATGAAGATCTTGTTCTCCATGGAATCTTTAACAGTTTATTTTCCCAAGAGCAATGTATGTGAGTGTCTGTTTACCTATTTCCTGGATAAAAGAGTGTGTTATCAAGCTCCTGGGTCTTTTTCTAGTATTTCAGTGTACTTTTAAGTTAACTTATTTAATGGAAACAATGGTTTATGATAGGAATATTTTGACAAGAATTTTGAAAAGTTTTCCAAAGTAAGATTAAACAGATTAATGAGTGAAATGCATTCACTACGATATTTCCAGACAATGTTTTAATAGTAAAGAAGTTGAAAACAAGTTGTGCACAATGCTGGAATGACATTGATATGACCTGTTTAACAAAGTCTAGATCTCTAAAATATAGAAGAATCATAGCAACACTTGAGATGAAGTGGCAAGTAATCATAGAAATTATGATGTCTGTGGTCCTCTCATGGCAAAGACCTTCTGAGTTGTCAACCTTAAAAATGAGTTTTCATTCATTCATTCATTCATTAATCCACTTATCAGAGGGTCAGAGAGGCTTCCCTGCTAGACAGCTTGGCTGAGCCCCTCTGACCAGTAGGCCCACCAACCCCTTGACTCCTGGTGTGGGAGGGGAGTCTGAGGCCTGACAAGCTGGGCCGACCAGATTCTGTTCCAAGAATTGGATTTAGGATCTGGCTGTACTACTTAGGAACTTGTCCAGGGACTCTCATTAGATTAGGGGGAGGAATGCTTCCACCTGTTGCTAGGTTAGATTTGGGAAATGCCAGTCTGAGTCTCTTTCTTCTGTTCAGTAGGGCACATAAGACACCCTGCTGCTGTGTTATACCTCTAGTGCTGGGTCCCAAACCAGTTTGCCTTTTTTACACCACCATTCGGATTTCTCCTTTGTTACCTCTTACATTATTTCCAGGGTTGATAGCCGTACTTGACAGGAAGGGTCAGAGAGAAACAGGTATATGCCCTCTTTTTGGGGGACCTGAAGTCACATATAGTACTTTTAAAAATACCGTTAATAAGTAAAATCACTTAAATTGTTACTTTTATCTTTATCTCATATTTTGTGTGTATTTTTATATATTTTGTAGAATATAAAATGCAGTAGTAAAGTTATATGATTTATACATAAACATATAAGAACATATATGTTTACTAATGGTGAATGATGATGATGAATGATCATTTTGTCTCTAACCAATAGGGACATATGAATAAAGAGCTTGGAAATCACTATATTAAGGTAAATCAAAAAAAAAAAAAAAAACCCATTGCTGTCGAGTCAATTCCAACTCATAGCGACCCTATAAGACAGAGTAGAGCTGTCCCATAGGGTTTCCGAGAGTGCCTAGTGGATTCAAACTGCTGACCTTTTGGTTAATAGCCAAACTCTTAACCACTATGCCACCAAGGTTTCCATAGGATTAGCAGTGGTGAGATTCGACCCCACGCCCCCACAGAGACTGGAGCTTAAATCCAGCACCTTAGAGGGCTTAACCACGCTACCACACATGCTGGCCCAAACCCATTACTGTCAAGTCAGTTCTGACTCATAGTGACCCTATATTAAGGTAGGGGGGCAAATAGCACATACGAGTTTTCCCCAACTTGGATAAAATATTAATGTTTCCATCAATCCATACAGTGCTCAAAAATCTACAACTCTTAATTTATGTTAACGGACTCAGCTATAGTAGCAAACATATACAAAAGTCATAATTTCCACCACTGCCGTCAAGTCATTCCAACTCATAGTGACCCTATAAGACAGGGTAGAATCACCCCATAGGATTTCCAAGGAGTGCCTGGTGGATTTGAACGGCTGAGCTTTTAGTTAGCAGCCGAACTCTTAACCACTATACCACCAGGGTTTCCATAATTTCCACCAGCATCTTTTATTCTTGTAGGAGGCAACTTCTGGGATAATTACCAAGCAGACACAGGAGTTTCTCTAAGAACTATCCGTTTCTAGAGGGGTAAGTCCCTGTAGCCATGTTTATTCTATGTGAGACTCTACCATTGATCGTACTTCCTGGGTGGTGCAAATGGTTAAGCACTGGATTGCTAACTGAAAGGTTGGCGGTTCAAACCCACCCAGGGCCACCTCGGAAGACTGACCTGGTGACCTGCTTTTGAAATGCCACAACCTTGAAAACCCTATAGAGCAGATCTACTTGACACACATGAGATTGCCATGAGTTGACATCTACTTGGTGGCAACTAACAATAACAACAACCTGGGTCACAGGGCAGTGCTACTAAACCAGGGGTGATATTACCCTAACCCCCACTCCAGGGGGGTGATATTACCCTAACCCCCACTCCAGGGGGGTGATATTACCCTAACCCCCACTCCAGGGGGGTGATATTTGGCAATGTCTGAATATTTTTGGTTGTCACAACTGGAGGAGGGGGCATTAACTGGCATCTGGTAGGTAGAGAAAGGAGCCCTGGTGCCGCAGTAGTTAAAGCAATCGACTGCTAACCAAAAGGTCAGTGGTTCGAAACCACCAGTGGCTCCATGGGAGAAAGATGTGGCAATCTGATTCTGTAGAGATTTATAGCCTTGGAAACACTTTGGGGTCACTATGAGTCGGAATCAACTCAGTGACAGTGGGTTTTTGGCTTTAGTAGGTAGAGAAGAAGGCCTGGTGGCACAATGGTTAAATCATATGGCTGCTAAACAAAAGGCCACTGGTTCAAACACACCAGCAGCTCCACGAGAGACAAGACCTAGTGATCTGCTCCTGTAAAAATTGCAGCTTACTATACCCTATAAGGAGCCCTGATGGCTAAGTGGTTAAGAGCTCAGCTGCTAACCAAAAGGTCAGCTGTTCGAATCCACCAGATGCTCCTTGAAAGCCTTATGGAGCAGTTCTACTCCATCCTTCGGGGTCACTATGAGTTGGAATTGACTGATGGCAATGGGGTTTTTTTTTAATACACTATGGGGCAGTTCTACTGTGCTCTATAGGGTCACTATGAATCAGAATCAACTTGATGGCTGTGGTGCAATGAATTAATATGGCCCTTCTATTCGTGGTCTTGTAACTCCCACCCAAGTGATTGAGTGGGACTATGCTAGTAAATTACATGGAATCCTAACAAGAGGATTGGTCAGTTTTACCATACTGCTGGACTTAAAATGAGAGCAGAGCACGTTCTTTGGACCTGAGATCCCTTCACTGAGAAGCTCCTGGAACCAGAAGACAGAGAGAGAGAGAGACCTGTAACACTGAAGATGGTGAAAAGCGGTGGCAGAGAAACAGTGGCAGGAGAGACCAGCAGGAGACTGAGCAGTGGACTTCCCGGCCCAAGGAGTGAGAAAACTGAGTGCCTTCGGGCAGGAGGCTAACTGGTGGAGTGCATGTCTTGGGGCACTTATTGACAGAGCTAAAAGATTTTTGTATACTTGCCTGAACAGGGCAGAGGCTGATGGGCCAGAGAGAGGTGTGCTTGTGGGCACAGCTGAGAAGAGGCTCTCCTGATGGAAGAACTGTATCCTGAGCATTCCTGAACCCGAATTGTAACCTGTTGCTTCCCTAATAAAACCCATCATTGGAGTATTGTCTGTGAGTTCTGTGTGGCCATTGCAATGAATGATCGAACCCAGCAGAGAAGTAGAAGACTGCCGTGGGAAGTATGGTTGGTGTCAGTATTGATGAAGATGGAGGAGAA